TGAACAGCTTGCCGCAGGGCCGCCGCCCGTCTGCCAAGGTGGCATGGCAGGTTCGAAGCAGCGTGCTAGAACGGTTTCAGCACCGCCAATGTGTCCGCGAGGATAACATAAGAGGTGCGCAACGGCGAGGTAACTGGGCTGGTCGAACAGGAAACATCCGAAGGCTTGGAAACCCGCAACGACCCAAGCAGGTCGACGCTGCACCTACGACTCTCCCATATGCAAATTCCAAATGTTGCAACCCCGTTATAAGGCGTGTCATCGACTTTGGCATTCCATACTGTTGGAATCCCTTGACGTTAGATGAAAGTTACTCCTCTGAGTGGCAATCTCGTGGTCGTTCTGTAGGCCGATAAAATGACTTGAAAGCAACGTCACTCATCGTGTAGTGGTACTCGCCATTCATCTGCAGCTGCCGCTGACGTCGCTGACTTGGTATACCCGGAATCAAGTGACCCATTAGCAGGAGTTTGCCCTTTCAAAGATTGGGTTACCTGCCAAAGACGAGACACATTTGCCAGAAAGAGAAGCATCGTTGCTTTCGGTAGTGTCGTGTAAGAAAGAGCACGATACAGCAGCGGAACGGAGGGAATCGATACGAGCGAGATCTGCGGTGAGCCTGACGAATGTGCAAGTCAACTTTCCACACCAGGAATTGGCGAGCGAGCAAAAGAATATGGCCCGACTGGGGCTTGAACCCAGGACTTTGGAGTAATCATGGAATGATATTAGCTCCACACGCTAACCAACTGCGTCACCCGGCCAACTGCTGAGCTGAGCGACTGGGCTAAACCTGGTACATAGTCATATCGTGAGGCAATTCGAGTTCGAGGCGGACTTCCGTGTCCCGACTCCCGTCCGCTTCCGGTTCGACCGTTTGCCAACTTCCCAGTATTACGATGTCGACCAGTACCGCACTGAAGGACTACTCCACATGCGAAATATCCGACGCACTCGTCAAACTCGGCATCAAGACCGGGGGGCACATACCAGACATTGGCATGCTTTCCCCAGCACCAGACGGTTCCGATACGCGCATCTGTGGACCAGCATACACTGTGCAGATGGTATTGGCCGATGATAAGCATAGTCCTTCTCCGGACAAGCATTTCGTGGACGGTGCCCCTGAAGGAAGCGTAGTGGTAATCTCTGCCCCGTCTCGTACGTAGTGTTGGCAGATGGCATCGGGGAATCTGCTGATTCTGATGACACAGAGGTCAAGAGTGCGGTCTGGGGCGGTTTGATGACGGCAGGTGCTCAAGCTCGAGGTGCTCTGGGGGTGGTCATTGACGGGAGGTGCAGGGACGTATCCGAGCATCGCGCTGCTTCCTTTCCTGTGTTTGCACGAGGCAGGAGCACGCTTGGGCAAGGCGGCTTCACGCGTCCGTCGGCGTTGAACATCTCAGTGGCCATGGCATCCGCTAGAGATGGAGAACAAGTTGTCATAAAGCCAGGGGACATGATGGTCGCAGACGAGGATGGGGTCATTTGCGTGCCTTTGGAAGTGGAAGGGGAGGTTGTTGAGCGATGTCGGGTAGCTCGGGAGGTGGATGCAAGGTGCCTCAACGACATTCGGGCTGGAAAAGGCGTGGCAGCGTCGTTCAAAGTCCATCGTGGATAGGTAGTAGGACG